TGTAAAACATTCTAGCAGAGTGTAATCCCCAGTTCAACTAGTTCCGGCATAGCGTGTACACTACATTATAGATAGTATACATATATATATATATGTATATACATCAAACATACAAACAACTTATACATAAACGTACATTACATTTAAATTCAACTAAACACATAATCATGTTATTTACACTCTCCAAAGTTATGGTTTTCTAAGTTTCTCTTATTTATCTAAATAATAGAGCTCTTCGCTCATACTAAGTATATAACCAAAACAAAATAACAAAATATATATATGCATATATCTTTATATGTTCGCTTTAGATAGTCAAACGACTGGACCAAATTGGCTGACATTTTTTAGGAAACCCGTAGGTAACCCGGGGGTTACATAAGCAAAAAAGGATTTGGAAATTTTTGAAATTCCACAGGCAACGCTGGGCACGTTAGCTAAAATCGTAATTTAATACCAAGTTTGGAATGGCGGCGGTCGAGTAATTCTATGACTATAAAAAAATACAAACCTGGGCACCGCTGCGTTCCAAAACAAGTCATACATGATATGTATACACATAACACATGTCATATGTACATCCTTCTTATGTACATTGTACATGCATGGGTACGAGCATGCGAATAAAATTGTTCTACAAATCTCTCCAAATAAGATAAGAATATTTTGAATTTTGTTGTTCTGGGGTTAGCTTGAAGGATGAATACAAATAAAATCAACAATAAATTCATGAATTTGAATAAGGGTCATATTAGAAAAGAATTTTAAATTTTTTTAACGCTTTTTTTACATTTTCTTTCTGATTAAAAAACATATCTGTCGGAAGTGTATTGTGTGTATAAGTAATTGAGCGTTATTGTGAATTGTTAAAATTTTGTTGGCATTAAAACAAGCACTTTTAAATTACAGAGTATCTATCAAAAATTGCAATTTAACCAGATGGATCATGTCACAAATCAATATCAGCTCAGGACAAAATCGTGCAAAAGTCAAGACATAAACGTGACACTTTCAATTTTCGTATCTCAAAGTTTGGTCGTGCTGTATCTAAATTAACCAAAGAACTTTTTAAGTTGGCATTGTTTTACAAAGACCTGCTTAATTCTTTACTTACACGGGTATTATCCTTGCATGATCCGAACCTGTACTAGGGTTTTTGGTCTATACGAGTGTAATGAATATACATATTCGTACTTTTTTTGGAAATATCTTATGATTTTCATGATATGAATTTGTACTACCCCAGCCAAGTGTAAAGTTAAAACCATAGAGAAGAGAATATATATTAGAGGGGAATTTACTAGAAAAAAGTGTAAAACGACCATTTTGTTGTACTGTTTCCATACTGCAGGTGTACTTCACATATTTGCGCTATATAACCTTTTGGGCCCTGGAATATCATTTTATAGAAAATCTAAAATTCTGCATATAATTTGTGAACATTTACATGATTTGTACACTTTTAACTTCCTTTCAGGCTGAAAGGGACTGAAAAAATTCATACCGAGAGATTCTTTAAATTCCCCTCTAATATATATTCTATTCTCTATGGTTAAAACTGCAAGTTAAATGTATATACAACTAACTATAAAAACATATAAAGCTCTTTCTTTCCCTTTTACACAATTTTCTTACCCTTCTTAATTTACAATAAATTTTCTAGTTCATTAAATTCCTAAACTTACAATTCCCCTTTTTCTAATTCTTTTTGACTTTACAAGCAATATGTGCTTTATTTTCAGAGCTAATTAAAATTTTTCCCCAAGCTTTAAAGTTTATTTTATCCCCTTGAGTTTAGTATAACAAAAAAAGATTTAGTTTAAATTATTTCAAACACAATTTTTATTTTTGTTGATAATTTTCCAATGTTAGATATTATATTTCGTGATCTAAAGAGCAATATTGAACGAGCTCATGTTTTCCATCAATAATTGAAATATTATCAATTGAAAGGGTAACTGATTTTTAGGAACCTTTAATCAAATATGATCAGAAAAAAAGTATTATGCTATCATTTTTTATTCTAAGGGACAGTAAACGTAATATTGCATGCCCCTCCATTGTCTAGCTTAAAAACGACGTTATCTACCTTAATTTTGATCAGATGAAGGTTTCGAGAATATCATTGTGAATCGTACATTCCCCCCACAATGATATTGAAACAAAAACATTAATTTTATAAACCCTAAAAAATAAAGAAAAATTAACTTGTATTAACCATTGAATTAGCTTTTATACTAAATTTTGTTTATACAGTTTTGTATTTGTTTATTTTAAACACATGAAATAACAAAAACTTAGCCTTAGTGCAGTAAATTTATGTTTATAGCAATCTTTTTAAAATCAGAATACATTAAATGTATTTCCGTTCGTTAATGATTTTAAAATTAAATGTTCTTTCTTTCGTAACGGACTCTTCGTTAATTTTTAAAAAACTTATTGTTCATTAACGTAAAGTTACCCAGCCCTATTTTCACCTAACAAACCTGAGCAGAGGAAATGCTTGAAAAGAATAGTTTATTTAACTATGAGTTGACAGAGATACATTCTAAAGATAACAGTGGTGTCAATATGTGTGAACACAGAAATAGTTTGTGCACGTATAGATGACATTACAACGTATGTATACAAATATAGAGAAGGAGTGTTTAGCCCCCCCCCCCCCTCCTGGTCCCCATCCCCAAGTATTAAAAATTATCATTTCAGACAAAATCTTATATAAAACTAGGAACTAGGAAACTCCTTTTCACCTCGTATAGGGGATCAACCATTATCTCCAACTTATTTAGACTTTTGGATTAATTTAAAGTCTCTTTGATATCTTGTGGTGGTCATACCATGAAGGAATAAATAAAATATAAGAATCAAGAATTATCTTCAAAATTAAAAGTTCCCTGATTGGATATCGAGATCAAGCTATCAAAGATACTCCACATGTTTCTATGTCCGATCATAATTCATGAAACCCTTGACCGATTTGCCTCAAATTTAGATTGGATAACTCGGTAGACTCTTGGGAATGTTCTCTGCTAGGTTTTAAAAGTATAGTGGGTCGAATTTTTATTTCTAGGCAAAGCTGGGTTTCCAAGCTAGTGTACTTAAATGTTCTTATATATAAAAATTGTTACCTTTCAATTTGTGTATGAATTTGGGGGTTAAAAGGAAAACGAGAAGAAGTATAAGGCCGAAAAATTTGTTTTTAAAAATGGATGAAATATTTCTAATCTGACTTATAAGTATCTTTCTTGGGACTCACTTTATTTGCACGAATCTAGTTGTAAAATGTGCATTCTATCTATACAATAGCGTGTCTATATGTTTATTGTTGTGAAATAACAATGGAAACATTATCCCGACTATTAAGTTCTAAAACATACTTCCTGTCTTCTCATATTTTCATTCTTAGATGAAAAATAGTTCGGTTCCGTATAGAAGAAAGGATAAATACGACCTTTAGAAGATAAATAGAACTTTAGTAGCTAATCAAGAGATACGTCTCGTATGCGTATGTACACTAGAAAACACTTATACTACAAGATGATGCATGTTCGAGAATTAAACAAAACAAAGAAAAAAAATGAAAAATGCAATACTAAGAATACTATGATGTGTATCTGCTATTGCCAGCGTGGGAAAAGATTAAAACAAGTTTTACTCCCAACCACACCTCTTTACATATACCTGTAAATATAGGACAATTTTATATCAAAATAATTGTTTAAAATTTGTCTAAATAAAATACATAAAAAGTTGTGATATAGGTTCTTAATATGCCTAAGTTAAAAGATTGTCTAATATCTAGATATGTAAATATTTATATTACTATAGCTAGCTAAATAACTATTTATCTATCTAACAACTTAGTCAATATCTACTGCACAACTCACCATTAAAAAATGCACTATGGTTTAGAAACCCCAACTGCATGCAGTTGCACTTTAACGTTTAAGTTGTAACCAAAGCTCTGTTCATTAATATATATATATATATCTATATATATAAATATATTTACTTCAACTAAACAAGGGCAAAGTATAATTAGAAATATACTTGTGAAAAAATAATATCTATCTAATATCTACTTTTTTACTCTACAGAGGTTTGGCGTGTCTATCAGTGTCAATACACGTTTCCAATTAAATATGCAAAACTGGTAAGCTTAAATATTAATACTTAGGGGACTTTTTAAAGGGAACAGCCCCCCCCCCCTAAACCTGACACGGCCATTTGATGGGAAAAACGGGTCGATCATAATCTTTAATAATTTTTTCCCTTTCAAGTGGTGTCTAATTCTTATTATTTTTGAAATGATAACTGTTATGCTCTATTCGAAATAAAAAAAAAACTTACTACTGAGTTTTTATCTTATATATAGAGTATAAGTAATACGAGTAAGTAATAAAAATTACTCATCAAATAATGTTTAAACGTTTTAAAACATTTAGTGAACGTACAATACTTGAAAAGCACAACAAAATTCATTATCATTTAACCTTAATATTTTATAAGAATTTAAAATGAGTACTGCTACTGATTTGAACCTATATATGGTTAGTGTACTTTATGCTCGATTCAATATCATTCAAGTCTTAACAACCTTACCGTTCCCCACGTAGAGCCCTTACTATAAAAAGAAATAATTAATTTATTAGTTTGTAATTATGAATAACCCAACGCGACGTACATTTAGTGACAATTGTAATCTTTACGTCAATATATTTAAACAACTTTCGGCAAAACATAACAATTCAACTACGTTAAACATTCTTTCATATATAAAATCTTTTTATTTAAATGTTGAATTTTTTTTGTCGTGTTCCGGAAAGCCATGATACCTTATGAGCAGTCTTAAAACACCCTTCCCTACCACTCACACACATTAGTTTATAGAGCAGTGCCTTGCAGGCTTTCTAACTATACTTATAACTGAATATATTTTTTTAAATCTAAAATTTAGCAAAATATGTATTATTTATTTATTATCGAAACTTAAATAGTATTAAAATATATCTTATCTCTTACAAAGTTTCAGAAAAATGTCTAGTTAGAATAATCTAGGGTTTTGAACTATTAAATGGATTGCACACTGTAATGTCTGGTATTGAACTTGAACCACTTTTAAAAATGAAACCAAAGAATCCGATGCAACGTGTTCAGAGTTGTGTTGGGGATCCGCAGGTTATTAAATATATAGACAAAATATAATTGATCAACAGAAAAGCTAAATATTATCGACAGGGCCAAAATTGAGAGGGGGGAATCGATTACCCTTACCTGTAAATACAAAGGGTAGGGGCCAGGGGGGAGGTGGAATATTCTTTGTATTCGTATAATGATAAAAAAAATCTATATAATAAAAAGGATCATCAAAATCAATGTAAAATAAAATGACTAGTTTAAATAACAATTTTTTAAAAAAATCGTTCTGCAGTAGTTACGGCCCTTGTTATCGATGTTGAAATTGATTTGAAAAATGTCTTTGAATGAATACTATCTTTAGGAAGAAGCTTTATCTGCATATGAAAGCAAGGACTATAAAACATTTGTTGATTGTGTCAGGTACTGGTTTATCTTCCAAACCTACCTTCCTACCTTCCGACCTTCCTACCTCCCTACCTTCCTACCTTCCTAACTACCTTCTTACCTTCCTACCTTCCTACCTTCCTACCTTCCTATAACCTTCCTACCTTCTTACCTTCCTACCTTCCTACCTTCCTACCTTCCTATAACCTTCCTACCTTCCTACCTTCCTACCTTCCTACCTTCCTACCTTCCTACCTTCCTACTTTCCTACCTTCCTACCTTCCTACCTTCTTACCTTCCTTCCTTCCTACCTTCCTACCTTCCTACCTTCCTACCTGCATCAGTGTCTAACTTCATTCATTCTTCTCAATCTCAACTTTCTGCTATCTTCCATTCCATATACCTAACAGCTTTCCCTACAAACTAATTTTTAAACTCCTACTTTTCTTCTCACCTTACTCCTACTACTCCTACCCTAAGACCCATATGGCCACACTTTGAATATTTTAGTGAGGAAGGCTTTGATCCAAACAAAGAGTATGGAGAGGATATCCCAAAGTAAGTGAATTTTGTTTAAAAAATTTGATACTTTTTAATGTTAGTTTGATTTAGAACTTTGTCTCATCTTATTCTGGATGAAGCAGAGGGAAGAGATATCTTTTTGCTGGTAAATCGTTTAAAAACTTAAAGGAATTAAATTGAGTATTAGGTTTCATCTAGATATATTCATTATTTTTTATTTATTTCTCTTAAGGAATCTTTAAAAATCCACTTATCTTTAAGCTCATATTTAGATCTAGATCAGGTCAAAGCTAGTCTAAACAAACATTTTGGCCCATTCGATTCAAAAGTGTAACTCGTGTCAATGTACATATAATTTACTCCAATCTAGTCATTTGGAAAATGTAAATGTTATGCGAAATGAATAGAGCAGATTTATTTCGTTGCAATATTAGAAATTCAAAACATTTTGTTCTTCTTAATATGTAATAGTTATTCAGTAAAAAGTCATGATTGAAAACTTGTAAAATTTTAATCTGATCTGAAATTTACTGTAATTTGACGTGATATTATGAATCCTGGTCAAACTAATAACATGCTATCACCCAGGCGCTCCTTAAAAATGGTGGACGGACAGATTTGAGAAACAAAACACTAGAAACAATACCGTTTCACGAAGCAATCAGGAAAAAAGATCCAGCACTTTTAAAGGTATTAAAGTAAAATATAGTTTGCATTCATAATCTTATTTGTTGCATTGGCAATGCAAGTGTAAGAATACAGTCATAGTTGTTGGTTTGTAAAAATTTGCAAAAGTTCAAAAACTTTTCCGGAAATAAAATATTATTTTTTAGTTCTAAAAATATATGTATAATGTTTGTATTATTATAATAATACGGTACAGGTTTCTCTGCTTGGGGTGCAAAATGTAAACATACAAGACGGGGAAGGAAGTACTGCCCTGCATGTGGCTACTGAAGGTATATTTCCTTTATAACTGTTAGGAATAAAAATCAGGTTAAACTAAAATAAAACTGAAAGCTCTGAACACGTTTCCCTATTTTTTTGCTCTTTTCTTGAATTCCCAATTTCTGTAGGGTTTTCTCAAATCAAACCATTTCTTATTTGTATATTAGTACAATATTGAGCTCAATAATGAAAATTTTTCGGAGATGTCAAAAATGATGTTTTGCTAAAGCATATCTCCTTTTTGTATACCACCCCCCCCCCCCCCTGCTCTCAAACACTTGATTTTAATAGAAATCCCAAAAATGGATAAATAAATTTAGACGTTCTTTAAAACGTGTTTAAATAACATTTTTTTTCAACCTCAACATATTTAGAATTACAAAACGCTGATGAATCTGAGCTAGACAATCTACTAGAGATTATTTCAATTCTAATACAGGTAGTATAGCTGCAGGTGTCAGGTATTCATGTGTTATTTGAAAGAAAAAAATCTAATAAAAATTATTTCAATTTATAACAGATATGTCTTACTTTATGAAAGATAGTATCAGGGTGGCCAAAACTTTTGAGAAAAATCCTTACAAAAATTTGTACTTTTTCAGAAAAAAAAATCCGTACAATCCGTACATAAAAATCCTAACAATCCGTACATTTTTTAAAAAATTCGTAATCCTTACATTTAAGGAAAAATCCGTACAATCTGATGGAAAAAAAAATTAAAAATTTTATTTTTTAAAAAAACATCCAAATTGAAAAAAATTAAAAATTAAAAAAATCTATTAGTCATTTCTATTATAATATTCAATGTTCGTATGAGAGCAAAGCAAAAAAAGCACGGTAAAAATCCTGAAAATCCGTGCAAATTGAAACATTTTTCGTACAATCCGTACATTTTGGCCACCTTGTCTAAGTATTGATACAGAAAAGCTACAGGATTAAACTAAAAACTAGTCAAATATTAAAAAATAAAATAGATACATGATTAAATTAAGATTTCGACTGATACTAGTTGTTTATTTATATAACGTTATTTTATTACCTAATTGTGGTTATCGAATGCTAAAATAAATTTCAAAAAATAATTCTTGTGTTTATCTCGTAATATTAACTATAAAGCACAGATATCCATTTTCACCAATTGTCAGAAGCATTTTCTTACAGGTTCCTGGTATTGATTTGAATCATGAAGACCTGAAAGGAAAATGTACACCTCTTTACTATGCAGCTGCTGCGGCTAGGGACCATCTATATTATGATTAACTATTATAAGCCACTCTGAATGAATTTTCTGATATAAATCATTACTCATTTATTGAGTAAAATTTTATTATTACATTTTTTAACCCAATATTTATTTCACACTTGGACAGATTTTTAACGAAATGCTATTTCCTTATCTTTTTATACTAAATATGTGTTTTAAAATGAGCTTATCATTTTTGTTTAAAAGAAGAACCCAAAGAATATTTTTTTTTCATTTTTGCTTTTCACAGTATTACTTCTGTTATTACAAAAGAAAGGTTTTCGTCTTAAGTCGTATTTCCTAATGAAGCTTAAAGAGAGAGAGAGTAGGATATTTGATATTTAAAAAATATATATATTTTTTTAGCTAAGCAGGGTCAAAATTTTAAATTTTCGGCCTACCTATGTGATGCATCAGGTTGAAAAATCAAGAAACATTTTATTTAATACTCTTTAGAAAATTCTGATAAATATTTTGGTTTCCTAGTGAGAAAGCCGTCGACCTTCTACTCTGCTACGGGGCAAATTCAGAAATTGAAATGATTCAAGAAGTTTTCAAGTGAGTTTTTTTATTTTAACAATTATTGGGGAAATTAGTTTCAAAACGGTTTTATGGCCCATTTCTAAGATATGGACACAAATTTAAAGAATTGAATATAAAGATGATTTATTTTCCAGCATTTAAACACATTTTAAATTAAATCTATATTGTAAGAAATAAATAAAATTAATATTTAAATTTGCCTATGCCGTAATGATATTATAGTTATCAATTATAATCAAATATTTAAAATTTCAAAGTTTAAAGAATATCCAATTTCTTTATCATTCATATGAAATACTTGTTTAGTACATGATGTTATCATTAACACTAACATAACTTAGAGAAAACCTGCCAGATTTTAATATCTCGAACTACAAGACAGCTAGAACTGGTCGACCACTTAAAAATGTACTTTTTAACCTCATTGAGCTAGCAGACAACTTGGAAGGGTTTGCAAATTTTACATACAACAGGTAAAGAAAATAATACAAAAAATACGTGATTTAAGAGAGAAAAAGTTTACAACAAATTTTGGGAGCAAGTACTATTACGTGTGCAGGATTGAATATCAGATCAGGGCAGTGGCTTAACTATGAAGCATTAAGCACATGATCTTAAAATCTGAAATTTGTCACATTGGATATCGAAATAAATGGCTTTTTCTTCATGGTAAAAGTGGGATCGAAAAGTTAAGATTGAACAAATTTACAACTCATATTTTGATATTTGCTCCGATCTTTTGTCTTTATTTATGAAAATAATAATGTTAAAATTGTGTGTGATTTTTAATACATTTATCTCTGCAACCCAATGTTGTAAGTTTTAACATTTCAAAAAATATGAATTCTATTAGATCAAATAATCTTAGTTTGAAATGTCAAAGGTTTACACCATTAGGTTGATAAGATATAGGGATTAGGAATTTTTAATTTGTTACAAAATATCAATTTCTTAGGGATGGAATTGATTGGAACTCAGATAATGGACAGTTTACACTTCTTCAATATGCGGCAGAGCAGGTAAGAGCAAATATGCCATATGGGAGTGAATTTAATGAATTTGAACTGCCACGTGCGCGCTGGTTTAAATTTAAATCATCGATTCAAATACTTCCTTAATCTTTAACTTTAAATCGGCGGTTACTTAAATCAATTTCTTTGAACCTGTCTGCACGGCAGTTGGTTAGTTCAGCAACACGTGGCACAAATTCAGCATTTGCTTCTCAGAAAAATTGTGTTCATAGATTTTAAAGTAACTGAAATTCTAAAATTCTATTGGATGTACTCAACTTTTTTTAAGTATTGAAATTATACAAAATAAACCAACAAACGTACGTAGGGATAAAATATATTGGGTTTTAAAGTTGTATATCCATTTGTTCGTACCTTTTTTTCTAATCTTTGAGAGTAAAATTAACTTATAACGTATATTTAACCATTCATTTCATATTGCATCTTTTTTGAAAGAAAATGAAAAGTGCGGGAAATAAAAACAGTTTGAATAAAAACGTTTAGTAATAACCATATTTTGAAACCAAGGGTCGAGCAAAGATCTGTGGCTACCTTCTGGAAAACGGAGCTGACCCAAACCTGACCGGCAGCAATGATACTCCCCCTTGGATACTAGCAGCACATAGTGGATATTATAAGGTTCACTGTGCTAACATTCATTATTTTAACTGTACAATTCAAACATTTTAACAATTAAAAAAAGGTAAAATTTCTAAGGTTAAAATTTTAACTTTTCATCAATTTGATTTTCCGTAATTAATTTCTAAATATTTGTAAATCTTTAGAAAATTTTAGTTTTCTCCGCAGAAACTACTTGGTGCCAAAAATGCTTAACTTTCAGGTCCTCCAGGTGTTTTTTGAAAAATTGACGGATCGTGAGATAAGAATGGCAATGATTACAACAGATCAACATCATGGACAACGGACTATTCTCCATGAAGTTGTTAGACAGCATTCTCCTAAACTAGACAATCCTTACAGGAACCCGAATACCATTCAGATGATTAAGAATTGTACATACTACATTTGTTAATAAGGCTGATTTCAATCTTTATTAAACGTATTTAGCCTGACGTCTGGTATATGTGACCAGTTTTCTATTTCCTTGTTGTGATACAAAACTATAACATTTAAAACGTTTTTGGAAAGCCCTTGGGCGCACGTCAATAATCTGCAAAAAAATGGCAAATTTGTCAAAATGAAAATTTTAAAAAAATATTGTGCAAATTGCAACAAATTATACATTTTTGAAAAGCACTTGACCCAGCATATTCAAATGGGCGAATATTTGCGAAATTTTTAAAAAGGAAATGTGTATTAAAGAAAAACTAAAAATTCCCTGTAAAGGCATCTTTGCAAAAGACTGTGCAAAATTTCTTTGAAAAAATTGTGCAATCTGCTTGCAATCTGCTGCTTGCTTTCCATAGAGCTATAAAATGTTGAAATCCAGTGACTGGAAGTAGGTCTAAATGTAGTCTTAATCTGGTGTAGGTAAAATACGTCATTTAGGCAGTATGCCTGAGGACTCAGGCAGTAGGTATAAAATCCCATCTTTTAATGTTAAGATAGGGAAATGTGTTAGTTAGAAAAGTCAGAAAATTTGAGCTTACTAGCTCAAATGCTCGTTGAGTTATAAGAAAAAAAAATAAGGGGGGGGTTCAAATTAACCCCCATTGGCCCCCAGACCAAATAGAGTTAAACAACAAAATCATGCATTTCTACAAGACATATTAGCTAACCCAAACAATCTCAAATTCCGGTGACAAACTTATCCTTGCTAACCAAGAACCATTAACACTAGGATATCGCCTTTCATTCGATTTAATTATTCAAATTTTACACAAAATAAAGCATTTTTATTTTCAACACAGTAAAGCTGAAAACTGAATTATTTATGTTTTTGTCTATCCCATTTGTAATCTATTCCAATGTTGCGGGTTCAGGGATACAAATATTGACTATGAGGAGTGTCTCAAGGTTCTATTTGAGGACCGGAAGAATATGCGAGGAAAAGCCAAGTACTCTAAGTATACTGAGAGAATTATAAATTTTCGAGACTTGCATGGAGAAACTGCTCTTCACTATGCTACTCAGCAACCAAACCAGGTAAAGAAATGTCTAGTTTAAAAAAAAATAGTTTACTTTTTTAAGTTTTTGATTTTTTTTTCAATGTTTGTTTTCTCTAGGCCATTATAAAACTTCTGCTCAAGCATGGAGCTAATATGGGAGTAAAGAACAAGGAGGAAAAACCACCCGTTAACAAGATTCTGCCATCTACTCTTCAGGTTTCAGTTTTAAAGAAAGAAAAAAAGCATTTCTTCCCCCACATTGTTCTTTAATAAAAAGCTGACGAGCCATAAGTTGAATAAAAATTTGTCAACGAAAAAGATTCCCTTGAATTTTTACTTAATTGTAAAAAAACAGTTGCATGTGAAAAGGTGGAATTTTTTAAACAGGCAGTTTTAAGCATATACGTTTAAAATTGTTTGGATCTGGTTAAATAAAATCTTTTCAATTATTCAGTATCAAATATCGAAAGTACTTCACACATTTGTTTTGTACTTAATAACGTTGTTCAGTGTTAAGTTTTGTTAAAAAATACTTTACATATAATATACTTAATTCTTATACAATGGTTGTCATAATATGCTTTAACACTTTGAATTTGATCAGTGCATGAGCTTCAGTAATGTAAATGCCCTTGATCTGAAATATTATCATCTGTTGTTATAATGCAGACTGAAAGATTCAATGTGTTTAGGAGTTTCTTGATGAATGTGTTGCGTCCCAAGGTATAATCACGGATGATGATCTTCGTCTAACGTTTGATTACAACTTCCTAGCACCTCCTCTCCTGGACAAGGAAGTTTTACTTAATTTTGAAACCAAAAGAGGTATTCCTTACTTTCTAGCATAAACAGATAAGATAGCCTTCCATATTTATATAACTGTACATACTATAAAAAAATATGTATACTGAAACCCACGTGAAACTAAAGAATTGTATGTGGGATTGAAATCTCGCATATTTTCAATCATAATTCCTCTCTTTGAAGAGTTATTGAGAAGGACAAAGACATTTTAAATCTAAATATAAATTTAGCTTGTCTGTCCGTTTGTCTGTTTGTTTGTATCCAATAAACGTCAAAACAAACAAACAGACGACTAAACCGATCAGGCCCAAATTTTGTGTGGGACCTCACGTGGCCTCAGGGAAGGCCAATCAGGCTTTAAATATGTAATCTAAAAATATTTTTATCTTAAATTATCGGAAAATGCGCAAAAATAAATATGATGAAACACGCAAATTTTGAAAAAAAAAAATTTTACACTGTACAATGAGAAGATGCTCACAAATAAAATTACAATTAAAAGTTTAATAAGAAGATGGGCGCAAAGTGCCTTAAAAGCCTAGTTTATAATAAATATGGAAGCAGAAATTTGTAATTCTCATACTTGTGCGTAAAATCAGGAGCTATAAGGTTACAAAAACGTGTCCGTAATATCGCATTAATTTGAAATTCTCCCTCCAGCCAGTTTGCAGTACAGCAGAACACTAACATCCTTTCATATTTTCTAAAACCGTGTACATTTATGTTTAGTTGAATATCGTGCAAAGTTAAAATAACTTCAAAAATATCAAAACCAATTCCAACAATAGCAAGAATGACTTTTTACATAGATGTAGAGGGAAGTGCTGTAGGTGATACGCATCCCAGACCAGAAACTGAAGCTTTATGGTACCTCAGCGAATCTAAGGTTTACTATTAAACCATTAATAATTTAATAGCTGCAGATATCTTTAATACGTGTAACGAAATAAATATTTAGAAATACAGTACCTCCAGGGGTTTTTAGTTTACCTCAGTTTACATAGTTAAAAAGGCATGAGGCTTTAAAAAAACTAATATTTTTTAACTTAGTTGATTCCGTCTTATATAAGTAACCAAAAAACACATTGTAATCATGGAAAGAACAAGGATTTCCTTATTTTATCTGATTTTAGGATCATCGAGGGTTGTTAAAGCATCCTGTGATTTCAAGTTTTCTACTGATGAAATGGCAGAGAATTCGCACTTTCTACATTATCTCTCTTCTCATCTATTTTTTCTTTGTACTTTTCCTCACTTTACTTATACTACTTGGTAAGTAAAAGTTTTAAAAACATGTAAACTGTGTTTACCTTTATCTTTTTGGTTTATTTTAAAATATTTGGAGTTCCAGATTCATTAGATATACAGTGAAACCCTTAATAACGAATACGGAAGAATTTATCAAATGTCGTCTTGACAATTTTTCAATGAGTTTTATACTATATTACGTAAACTTCAGTATTTGCGAAAATAAATAAATAGCCATCAATATGCGGGAACAGTTTTAAAGAGTTCCATATAATCATTTAATTAAAAAACTAAATATCTACAACATTCCATTATCAGAAAGTGAAGAATACGACATTTGATGAATTCTTTCGATGTATTCTTTATTAACGGTTTCACTGTATAATGCTTGTAAAACGATGCAAAAGATTTTTCATAAAAACTTGCTTTATTCATTTTGACAAAATAAATTCTTGAATGAATATTTTTTGTGTGAATAATAATTGCAAAAATAAAAATTGTATTCTTTTCATTTTGAACATGTTTAAGAGTATGGTGGATGTAGTTTGTTCAGCTCCGTGTCGACCAATATTGAATCTGAAGTTAAAGAAGAACAAGAAGGACTTGATAAGGCCGATGAATCTTCTTCTTGTAGAGGAGACACAACAGGTATCTGTCAAATCAATGATCACAAAAAAGTTATAAATGATTTTTAGAGCAATAAAAACTTGCAAAATCTTACAAGGTTATTGAGGAAAATGTCCAATTAATCATAGACAAAATATCAATTTTGGTGAAAGATAACATAATGAAAATGTTCTTTAAATATTTGAGGTTAAATTTTAGGTACTGTTTTTCTGTACATACTTAAAACAAATTTTCTGTACATACTTAAAACAAAGCGATTCCACGACTTTTTTTTATAAAAATAACTACATTTTTACACACATTTTCAATGCATGAGTCCACTTTAATTATACTCTGCGAGTTTGCATGTTGTCCTTTGTTATTTGTAAAGAATAAACTCTGTTTATGAAACCTGTTATTTTTCAGTGTGGAAAGTTATCGTTGGTATTTTTCTCACTTTTCTGGCTATAATTGAGCTACTACAGATTGCAGTGTCAGTCAAGAGATATTTCGCTAGTTCTACCAACTATATTCAAGTAGCAATACTTGTCGGTGGAGCTATTCTTATTTTTGACAGGTATTCTCCCCAAATAATCCTTCTCGAAGACAAAATGATAACTCTTCCTCTTATGTTTAATTCTTTGAAATATGATTTAGATAAAAAACACAACAATGATTTCAAAAGATATTGAAAAAAACCAAGAGTACATAGGATGTTTATAAAAAATACTTAATAATTCGACCTTAAGTTAAAGCGTGTCCCCAAAAACATTAGAACTAACTGACAATTTTGCGATCGTCTTTGTGAATGATTTCAATTTAGTTTTGTAAAAACTGCCTTCCAAGGAAATCTGTAATCCGTTAATATTTTGCTACTATTTGTATTTGTATTTACTATTTTTATTTTCATGACTGCATGCTGTCGTACTTAGTAAAATGAGAAACTTCTTTAAGAAACGAAGTACAGTTTATACTATATAGTAATTGTTAATCTTGCAGAAATGTTTTAGACAAATCATTTAAAGTTCATCGTAAAAATAAACTCTAGCAGACATAACTTTATAATGACCATTGAAATTAGGTATATAAAACGTTAGTTCTTATTGTTTAATTAGTATTGATTTAGAATTCGTCACTATTGGTCACTACATTATGGATGGTCAATCGTTTTTTTTGTTTCGTTTTTTGATTGTTTTAAAAAACGATCGTTTCGTTTACGGAAAAAATTAACGTTATTAAAAACGACCCACCCGTTTTGAACGAATAATGATAGTTTTTTTTTAAAAAACAATCGCTTTTATAAAAACGATCAGCATCGTTTTTTCATACGATTGTTTTATAAAAAAAACAATCTTTTTGAAAAAAATGTTATTAATAAATATGTTAACGATCGTTAACGATGGGTCGTCTTTAACAATCGTTAACGAAGGGTTGTCGTTAATTGAACGAAGAACTTTATAAACTTTGAAAAAAACGATCGTTTTTGATAAAAATGACATGAAACTTTATAGAATGTCGTCTTACAACTGATAAGTGATAAGTACCGATGTAACTCAGGGCGGTATCCTCTCTCTTCCTCTCTTCGTTAACGATCGTTAGCGAAGGGTCATCATTAACGATCGTTTACGAAGGGACGTTTTTAACGATCGTTAACGAAACGATGAGCTTTATGAAAACTACCGTTTAAAAAAAAAAAAACTTTTTTAAAAACGATCGTTTTGGTTTTTTGTCGTCGTTTTCATAACGAAACGATCGTTTTAAAAAATAAAACGTTAACATCCCTAACTACATATCCCATGTTGCTTGGGACACTCTGTGATTTTTAGATCAATGTCTTGGGATGAACGACGCCATTTAGCTGCACTGCTGATTATCTTCTCTTGGTCTGAGTTTATTATATTAGTCGGACAACATCCTAGTCTGAGGTATAGGTTTTAACAATGATGGGAATAAAGTGGGGACATTTTATAAAAACCAGTAAAAGTTTTAAAAATGTAATCCTAAATATTGTGCACATTTTGTAGCTTCAAAAGTAACCGAAATATTACCAACTTAGTTTAGATTTAAAAATTTTAACATTAATTCAAAAATGTTTAAATGTCTAATGTTTCCTATTTTGAAATTCTGTAAAACCTTCGGTATTTGATAAATATTAAAAAATTTACAAATTATAGTTAAAACTAAATTTGTAGAGTTTACAAGTTAAACTTTTTAAAGTTTTGTGAAGTCTCTTAAAAGCCCAACATTGTAAAGGTAAAAAACGATCAAAGAGATGCTTAATCAACTTTTAAATATGTTATGGTTATTGGTGACGCAATTCAAATCAAGAAATTATTGTTTAGTACGAATGTGACGATGCTGTTTACTGTTGTAAGTACTTTCTTTAAGTTTCTTCTCTGGTATACAGCTTTCATTGTTGCATTCGCGTTCTCCTTCTATATCATGTTCCATACAGACCATAAAGGTAAAAAATACTTGACGATGATTTCATTTTAGTTAAAAAATTCTATGTTTAATGATTTTAAAGAAACATGATCTTAAATCTAGTAGATCTTTGAGGTCTCATTAATTCTAAACATTTACAATTTTGTGTAGATGGCGAGGTAAATCCTGAATACAAGTTTTTTGACGAAATTGGAACTTGTATCGTAAAAACATCAGCTATGTTTGTCGGAGAGCTTGAGTTCAGCGATATTCCGTTCAGGAAATCATTTAAACTCTGATTCTAAATTGTATTTAAACAAAAAAAGAACTAATCTTTGCAAAATATATCATGCACCTTTCATATTTGATGCTATCCCCATGACCATCAGGTTGCAAAGACTAAAGATTAGAAAATTTAACTCTGACTCAGAGGCGAGTTAACCTTTCTTTCTGAACCCTAAATTGTTATCTATTTATGTAAGATAGTAATCGGACGTTTCGATGTCCGATCATAACTCAGGAATCTGTACATCAAGTTGTCTCACATTTTAATTGGGGAGCTCGTTAAAATCACGTAAATGATTTTAGCTTGGTTATAAATAGAGTGGATTTACTTTTAGAGCAAACGTTTTTCATAAAAACTGGTTTCAAAAGCTAGTTTTAAATATTATTATGTAAATTGAGTTTACAAGTTTTACAGTGCCAATCCGATCAGCTACATCATATTCGTGGCATTCATATTCCTGATAGTTGTAGTCCTGATGAATCTATTAAATGGTTTGGCAGTTTCAGATACAGGATTGATTAGGTAAACCAATTAGATAAATTGAAATGTTAAGAACTGAATTTCATGTGATAATTCTAATTTAATAAAAAAATTATTTTTTCGTGGGCCTTGGAGAAATTCGAATTCCTAAAATATCTGAATGTGATTTCAAAATGTTTAAAGTTGTAACCGTTAATCTTTAAATGTCTATCTTCTTTATCATATTCTAGGGAGGAAGCTGAAGTGCTCAGCCTAAAGTCCCAGGTTGATATTATCTCCTATTGGGAATCAATTCTTCTCAACGATCCATACAATTTTCTCACCAGCTGGCCTAAGGTTACTTTTCTTTTAATTCTATTTGTGCATATCTATAAAGGTTTCTTGGACAGACAGGACAAAATGCAGAAGTTACGTGATTTTCCTGCATTGTCCCTTTTGGGTGTATTTAAATCAAATTGTTTTGAGATAGTTCACATTTATCAACAGCTTGGGAATAAAAAATACTATACAGGGAGAGAAAAAAAGAGATTAGTGTTATTTTTCACAACACAAAAATATAATATTGAAGGTTCATGTTAAAGGCAAATTATAGGGAGAATCTTCACAAAATCCTCCGAGTTTTGTGTGATTACTATTTGATCAACAGATTTTTAGAAACTTTGTAATAATATTGAATAAATAGTAAACCTCTTATGAAGGAAAAATATTTTTTTCACAAAAAAAGTTTCGCAAATTTATTTTTGTTCCAAACATTATTTTTGTATTTGGTCACTTTAACTTATTATTTTACTACCTAAAACATGATCCCTGCATTAAAGAAGTTTTAAAACAACGCTAATCCCGGCTTTTTTTACTCACTCTGTATTTACTAAAGAAAACCGTCATTTGCCAAGCTGATTAATCTCAATATATAATTTCAAATTTTTAAAGTTTTTGTCTGCTCTACCCTCCTGTTCTTGCTGCTTCTGGGTGAAGAGAATACCTTTGCTGGAAACCTTTCTAAGCAAAATAACAGGTTAAAAAAGTTTGTGGACCTATGTCGTTACTTTTTTGTTTTAAATTTTTGTATTATCATATTAATCTTTTTACTAGAGAAAGAACCATAAAACTGGAATAGAACGACGACGACTTTTAGACAAAAATTATTACTTTAAATAGTTCTTTAAACATTAAAAACTGTGATTGTGCAGTGTAAACAGACCCATTTCAATTTAGTAAGTTACTCGAAAAACTTGTTTACTTTCTAACAACATGAAATTCCCTAAAGTATTGCTTTAATATCGTCTTCCCATTCCACAGTTTTCTGGTATCTATCGTAAAAGTCATTTCTTTTGTTTAACACAAAATCTGGGGATTAAGCATTGATCTCCATAATATCTAGATCTACAGTTTCCTTTAGTTCCTGCAGGAATAACATGATAAGATTAAGCAATATTCTCTCGAATTTAAAAGATTTTACAGTTAATATTGAGATAAAGCTTCAAAAATCAATAACATTCTTCACCAAAATTCTAATTTACGAACAAAAAAGTGAAATTTAATTTAAAATCTTACTGTAGAATGTAGATGGATTATCAAACTTTTTTTACGGGCCTAAAGTTGTTTCAATGTATAATTTTTAATCTTGTCTGAATTATAATACTAAAGCTTAAAATCTTTTATTTTGTTGGATTTTACTTGTTTTTGTTTAGGTGGTGCTAGAATTCTTCTGTTCTATGAATGTCTACCAGATAAAAGTGCTACTTTTTATCCAAACAGTGGAAAAACAAACAGTTGTATTCCATACAGAAAAAGAATAAAAGTAAGAACTATTCTGAATTTTCGACTTGCATATTTGAATCAGTTCTGATAGTTTCAATTTTAAAAAAAAATCCATTTGAAAGATATTTGCTTATTAGGTTGTTCCCACTGGAAAAAATCCCGCCAGTACTCCGCTTCAAGTAAGAAAAGATGTTCTAGATGCCGCAAAAGCAATCATTCTAGGTATTTTCTAATTTTGTATAAATCAAAAGATCTTTTAAAATATATTTTTGTTTTTGTTTAGAGCGAGATAGAGAAGACAATGTTGACACTCAAATATTCGAAAAGTTGACATCTATGGAGCATAAATTAGAACTTTTATCACAAACATTGCAACTTGTACTTAATAATTCAAGCAAATTGCAAGCTTAAACAAACGTAAAGGGGCTGTAAGCAAAATTTCAAGTTACTCGCCTTGAAAAAAATGCTAATGCCCGATTTAAGCAAACGTACAATGTAAACTCAAAGCAGCTGACGCTACTGTATTCTTTGAAAATCCCAAATAAAAAATTATAATGTAATTATTTATTTTCTGCGACTTCTAGAGAGTGAATTTTTATATTTTTAATATAATAAAGCTTGCAAACAAAGTGTGAACCAAGGATAAGTCCTTAATTATCGTTCATGCACGAGTCAAAGGTTTCAGGGGTACTCTTGTGAGTCGGTCACGCCATTCTACAAACTTACATTCGATACGCCACTTGAAATTATGCCTATAGTCCGTTTAATGACTAAATCTATTCGTGAACTGTACATTTTTACATGTTAATGTATTTTATTAAATTATTTGAAAAATAAATTATAATCTAAATAGCTTCTTTTACAATATTACTGCCATAAATATTAATAAATGTAAATGAAGAACATTTTTCAAAAAGTTACTTTTACTTTGCAGTCTGAATGAAATAAAGTGCATGGTTTTGGGCCCCTATAGATTTTAGACTATCCATATGATTAAAAATGATATTAAATGATACACACACTACTGAAAATGGACCATCAGATTTCAATTCAAAACATCTGAACTCTTTCTTTTGAATATATTATTACGCATTCTTCTGAGTTATAATCTCAATTTTCAGAAAGTGCCACCTAGGGAATTTTCCTCAAATACATTTTTAAGATATCTCAGAAATCAAGTGCATTTAAATGTCTAAAATACTAAGTAAATTTCGTTTAAAGACTTTAATATGCTTCTTCTCTGGATATTTGCGATGTTTTTGTTATCTGTTAATGGCAGAGTCCACAAATGAACAGTCATAATAGATATGTAGTAAAAAATCTTTTTGATGTGATTTTTAAGGTTACTTAAAAAACCTTTTTAGACAATACTTAAACAGTCATACAGTTCACTTATGGCTATGATTTGTTTTTAGTCTTTAAAATGCACTTGATTTCTACAATATATTAAAAATGGATTTACTCAAAATTCCCTAGATGGCATTGCCTGAAAATGAGATTATAAGACAGAAGACTGCATAATAAAATATTCCAAAGAAACAGTTTAGGTGTTTTGAATTGAAGCCTGATTGCCCATTTTCAGCAGTGTGTGTATAGTTTGGGCTTATCATATAAGCTGTGAACTGCATTAACAACTCTTTTTAGCGGGTCCAGTGTTTCCAGGTATGGAGCGTGGCTAGAACTTAGTCTTTGTAATCATGGCAATGAAAATATTTTCTTTAACCCCACTGTGCCATGCATTTTTACATGAAGGATGCGACTTTGAGCTTATTCAACAATCCGTCCTGTGTAGTGTATAGTTTATTCATAGCTCTTGTACCAATGTATTACCCATCGTGACTAGATTCAAATTTTTTTATTTGGTAAGCGCATTTTTAATTAACAACGTGGTTTATCAATTGCGATCCCCGGTAATTAATAAAATATGCAATGAGAGAGTCGGGACACTCTCTGTATAAAAATGTTCGCTGTTTATTCGATAAAAAATAACACTTTTTTAACAATTTATTTTCTTAAAATTTATTCATAAATCATAAATACAAAACTGTCCACAAATTTTTAAAGAAAGCAACTGTTTAAAAGTGAGAACACACTGTTATTTTAAAACAATAAGAATAAGACATGGATTGATGTGACAGAAGCATCAATTGTTTATAATCAATAGCTAATCCTCTTATTAACTTTTAATTTAACATGTACACAAAAATGAGCTATGGCCAATGCACACAAAAATTAACGATTTCTAAATAGTTTTTTTTTCCTGAGCTAACGATTGTTTTGAACGAACTTTAGACAAAAAAACTAACGTTTTTTTACTGAACAAACGATTTTATTGAACGAACGAACGACGAAAGAACGAATTGAAGAAAAGCCAAATTCTATCTCTTATACGCTAATCCTTTATAATAGAGTCATAAATAAGAATCAGTAAATTAAAACCAAACATCTAATAAGTGCTTATAAATTGAAATTGAAAGGATTTACATCTGTTGTTTCTCTGATCAATGATCAGGTATTTCACAGATATTTTTATCTGAATATTCAAGCAGCTCTTAATGTTTGCGTCTTCTTTCAATTCTTGCATGTAGTCCTCCTTTTACATATCCCATGATACTTTGGGGATCTATTTCCAAGGGTTCTAGATTTTTGCCACTGCAAACAAACGAATAGTTAGCCAAAACTTCAATCATTGCGACCTTTACTTCTAGAAGAGCAAATCTCATTCCAATGCAAGCCCTAGGACCTTGACCAAATCCCAGAAAAGCATAAGGACTTCTTAATTGTTTCGACTCTTTAGAAAAGTTTTCTGGGTTGAATTGGTTCGGTCTCGGAAAGTATCTTTCGTCTTTATGAATTCCTGCGGCAGGGATGATTATCAAATCATTTGCTTTAACCGCAATGTTACTGTTCGGAAATTTATAATCCGTTGTACATGTTCTCAAGATAGCTCCAATGGGAGTCAAATGTCTCAGAGATTCCAATAGACACATCTCTAAGTAAGGGAGATCTTGAATATCTTGATAGTCTAGATTTACTCCTCCCTGTTCAAGAACTTGATCTATCTCGGTCTGAAGTTTAGTTTGAATATCAGGATGCTTAGATAGAAAATATCCCATAAAGGATAAAGTTAATGCTGTCGTATCATAACCTGCGATAAGCAGGTTTAAGGCCGTTGACACAACTACATCGTCATCAATCTCAATTTTCCTCTTCTTGTGCTCAAACTTCATGTCATTTTCATATTGATCTTCTACATTTTCATTGTTGGATTCCAATTCTGATGCGTCCTTCATACAATCAATCATTAGATCAATTAAGTCGTTGCGTCTCTCCCCTGTTTCTCGTCTATGCTTAACAGTTGATCTAATTACGTCGCAGAAAAATTTAGTTTCCTTTGGCTTTAAAGCATTGAGGTTTAAACGTTTTTGAAGTTTAGCACTAAACGGAAGAAATCTTGAAAATGCTTTCAAGTTGTCAAGGCTTGTAGAGGTAAATATTCGAGCTGCATTGCGAACAAAAGCAGTTGACGAATTTTCGAAACTTTTTGGATTGATTCCAAAAGCGCAGGATGCGAGAGAATCCAATGTAAACTTCCCAAACACGTCCTAAGCAGAAAATAAAACAGTATAAAAGTAAATTTTTTATTTAATTTTCTTCAAAGTTTTCATGTAAAACTAATCTTTAATAAGTTTGAAGTTTAATTTTTTTAGAAGATTTTTAAATGTTGATTCTCTTCATGGTTGATGAGAATCAGGTCAAGTTTTAAATGTTGATTCTCTTCATGGTTGATGAGAATCAGGTCAAGTTTTAAATGTTGATTCTCTTCATGGTTGATGAGAATCAGGTCAAGTTTTAAATGTTGATTCTCTCCATGGTTGATGAGAATCAGGTCAAGTTTTAAATGTTGATTCTCTTCATGGTTGATGAGAATCAGGTCAAGTTTTAAAAATCATGTTTACTTGTTTAGCCATTGGACAACACTTTAATTCTATTCTTATTTCCAGAAAAAAGTATGAGTGGCAGCATCTTACTTTCAGTCTAATGACTATTTATAACACCGTTATTTTGGTTCGCAGTGTTATAAAGTTTTTGAATAGAAATTTTCTCTTTATCAAGAAGGTTCAAGCGTTCAAGGCGAGACCTTCGAGATAACAATATCTTACATGAAAATAAATTTGTTTTAAATGACCAAGGGGTTTCCCGTAAACATTGATTTTTTAAATTAAATCAGGTTTTTATTATAAAATTGTGATTCAACAACGTCTCAGGCATGAAACTGGTACAAGATAAGCGAGCTACAAAACATGCATAGCACATTTTGGAGATCATTTAACTAAGAAAATTATAGTGTTTATTGTTTATAGTATGCTTTTAATATAAACAGATTTACACATGAATGCCGCGGAGATCAAAAGAGATTACAAAGTCGTAACTCTATTTTCAAATTAATTGGGGCACTCTGTACCACGTTATCATAAACATTGACAACGAAATAAAATTGTTTCTATTTCCTTGTACACAAATTACAGATTCATGGTTTTGTTTTTTAAAAACTTCGTGTTTACAAGCATCATTTTTGTATTGTTTAAACGTGGAATTAAAAAAAATCTAATTTTGAAAAAAAAAATTGTTAGTCTTTGTTACCACCTTAGCACCGATGGGTTTACTCACAACTATAGCTAACATATATACAAATATGAGCGAAGAGCTTTATAATATAGAATATCTTGAATTATAACAAACATCTCTAAAAGCTTCTTAAAGCCAAAAAAAATACCTTGAATATTAAATTGCAAAGCCTAAAAATAATGCCCATCTCTACGTGATAAACCCCATTACTATAAATCTGTTTTTACTTTCTTTCCTTAACAGGTTGTACGTTTGTTAATTGATGTTTGTACATGTGTTTACAAAAGCCACCAAGTATATGTATAATATATAATACAGGGTGTTCCAAAAAAAACATGGGAATTCAGTGACGAATTCGATGTCGTCTTTGTTATGAATTAGCATTGTAATACCTATTTTCAAAAGCCATAATATTATTTATCAAAGAATTATTTAAAAAGACGATATCGAATTCGTCACTGAATTCTCATGCTTATTGGGACACCCTGTATTTTAGATGTGAAATGAAGAATTGTTTTAAAGTCATTCCATAATTCTCATCAGACAAAGCATTCTTTAATAGATTTTAATTATCAGATTTTGTTAGAAAATTCTATAGTTCGGACTTTATTTACCTTGATTTCAAAATCCTCACCAGAATCTGCATATTTTCCTAACTCTAATTTGAGGACAGCTCCAACCTCTTTCATGAACATAAGCATTCCTTTTAACTTGCCAGATGTAAAAATCGGAGAAAATGTTGATCGTACATCCTTCCATTCATCTCCGCTTAAGTGAATCAATTGTTTGGCCCAGAATTGATCAAATTCTCCTCCATCAAATAAACTATTCAAATTCGAGTCATTCCTGTTGACAAAATTATTAAAATCCTTGACCAAGACATGGCGAATCATTTCCACATTCTGAACAACAAGAACTGGTTTTCCAAAAAGATAAATTCCGTAGAAGTCCTGATTTCTAAACTTGTGATAATTTTCTCTAAATACGTCATGCATGTGCCGAGATTGAGTAATGAGCTCTATGTGACTGCCTGCAGGAAAGGTTCCTTTGATAAACGGTATACCGACATTCTTCCAATGGTTGAAGTTTTTTGTGACATAGATGTAGAGAAGGATAAAAAGTGTAAGCAAAGTCAGTCCTGCTTCAAACAGCATTCTTACCACACTGAACCTAGTCTAAGACGTTGCAAGCATAAAGATATTTTGCAATAAAAATGCATTTCTTAGCGGGGAGTGTATGACTATACAGTGCATTTTAAGTTTAATGTCGATGCATTTAGTTGCGACGTCTCTAACACCCCCCCCCCACACAAAAAAAATAATATTTTAAATATTTCAATGAACATGATACAAGTCAATTTAAATTTGAATCAAATTAGTCCACATTAGAAAATTATGTTACAGGTTTATCCACAAAGGATGAGACTGTAAAGGCTCAAGTATGAAAGTCCGAAGTTTAAGTTTTCTGTCTTGAATGTAGTCTTCCAATGGCATATTAAATGATTTAGTTGAGAGAGAATTTTAAATGGTTACAGGGAATCATGAGTATTAGAAAATAAAAGAGACAGTATAAATTCTGTAAACTTGTCTTTAAATTCTCATCAGTCATTCTTTGTTGGTCGCCTTCCTATTCCAATAAATTTAGGCTCAATTCTTCGTTTTGGAATTTTAAATATCGAATAGTTAAAACAGCTTTAATTTTTGAAAACAAAAACGATCAATAGTTTTTAATCAAAAAACAAAGCAATTTATTGTGAAGCAAGATTTATGAATTTCTTATACAGGGTTACCCACAAAGGATGAGGGCTAAGTTACATTTGTCATAATACTTATGCCATAATACGTTTGCCATAAGTAACACTTGCCATAAGTTACACTTGCCATATTTACAATTAATTATAGTTATATTTAACATCCATACATGTGTTATTGAACAACTACAATTAACAAATCTAAATGAGGAACATCTCATGAGCAGTATATAAGGTTAAGTTACTGCTCTATTGGAAAAGTATTGTATTGTCATTGATTCTTCACCAAGCTCTATCTTCCAGTATTAGTGTTCATATCTCTCCCGGCAACATTGTTAGAAAGTAAAAGTTGGAAATTTTCGTGAGAAAATTTAGCGCATTTATAGAAAAAAAAAAAATTAGATTATGCCTTTGTAAAGTTAGAAAATTATGGCAAGTGTAACTTATGGCAAAAGTATTTATGGCAAGTGTAATTATGGCAAATGTAACTGAGCCAGGATGAGACTTCAGAGACGATTGTGCGGAATTTGTTAAGTCATTTTTCTTGTATTCAGGGTTCCTTGAAGGCCAAAACTGGCTTATTTCTGAGGAACCAAAAATCAAGCCTCAAATCGTCAAATTTCAAGAGTATAATGGTGCAAGGTTGTTAGGTAAGCTGCATGTACAATGTACAATGTACATTAATGGCTTAGACTGTCCTTAAAATTGTTCTTTTCTTTTTCTGTCAAATTTTTAATACATTTTATAATCTTTTCCGTTTACTCGTATTCGACTTTATCCCTCTCCCTTACAACTTGCGCTGGGGGGAGATAGCAAAGTTTAAACATATACCCCTTTGTATTTTAAGATCTAAAACCATATCGTGAATTTTTAGTTAACAAAAACCAATGATTTTTGAGATATTTTTTAATTGGGTTTAATTTGGATTTCTAAAATGTATTTCTTTTATTAAACACAGTGTTACCTTCTTTCATATAATTGTACATTGAATGTTAACGAGATGTATAATTCACAAACACATGGTACATTAACTTATTCAAACAGCTATGCACAAAATTAGTTCATTGCACAAACGTTGCACACTGCACAGTGTGTACAATACAATGTACATTAGTCAAAATAAGTACTTATAAACCAAAACATCCGAGTATAGAGTTTCAGTTTACCTACCAATAATAAAATATGCTAAATCTAGAGTAACCCATAATATATTGGAACATTAATCGATAAGTAATTCTGAATCAGACAAAGTAAAGAAAAGTTGGTAGAAAACATTGCTTCATCTTAAAACATCTGTAATAAATTCGAACTATAATTTCAGTTAACAATTATTTATGAACAAAGTGTACTTTTAGTAAAATAATCTACCATTTACCAGATGTCAAGTAGTTAAGATAAAAGTAAAAACCCCAAAAATAAAGATAAAGATTTACTGGTGGGATGTCTATAGTCTAACTATCTAATTAAAATAATGGTTAATAAGACAGAGTAATTTAGAATATTATCATGAAAAGAAATTTAGAATATCGGCTGAAGTAGATTGATGATCCGAGAGCCTACAGGAAATAATCAGGAGTTCTGAAACATAAATCATTAGACGAATGAAAATAGATTAACTTTCGAAATAGATTTTGAAGGGACTCGAGTTCAAATTGATTTGGTTTCAAAATGAAGAATGAAATTATTGGTACAAAACAACTTTTTCCTTGGCTCATGGTCCTGGTTAAAAGTACTTTACAAACAATAATTACAGGGGTGTGTATATCCTCGAAAAATCATTTCCCCCCCTTTTGAAAATTTTTTTTTTCACCCAAAATTTATACCTGCCTACGCAGAATTTGTAAATAAATGATGTTTAGGGGAAAATCAATGAATTTTTGGATAAATATATCAAAAAGATCGATCAAAGTTGCCTTTTGACGNGGGTAATTCTGAAAAATACATACGCCTGCTTATTAATAGGTTCATTAATGATTATATCAGAGAACAGCTCAGTCGTTTCGACGACCAACACAAAGGAAAATATGTATCAATTGATATTGAAAAATTTACCTGCGTGTGACATGAGGTTCACCTCTGCGTGGCGCAGGATCAAACTGTAGAAAACTGTACTTCAGAGCATCATCAAGCTCCATTATAGCAGCCTTTAGATAAACATAGATCAATAAAAAACATAGGATGAATTAGATATTCTGTTTGATTTAGGAATTTTTAGAAGAGAGTAGTGGTTTCATCAACCTATCCACAGTTTTTAAATTTAAACAACTAAAAACTCCATAACTTAAGTTATATTTAAATCATAAAAACTTATTATTTAGAAGCTGACACAATTAACAAACAAAAATGTTGTTTATAAAGAAGACATTTCGAAAAATGCTTCGGCGCAGAACTTAATCTGGTAAATGGTGACCTAGTTTGGTTTTGTTTTATCCTGAAACTAAAATTTAATGTTCATGAAATAAATTTATACTTGGAGTAAGCTTTTAAAAGAATTAAAATATTTAATTTTGAATTTAAATGTTCAAACTGAAATATAAAAATTTATAGCATTAAAACTGAAAATTTAAAAATTAAAATCAATAATTGTAAACAAACTAAAATAAAACTAAAGAATTTAAAAAACCCAGAACCATTACATTTGTTCTTCAAGAGTTGATCTTTGTTCTGTTTTGTTTTTAAAATCTTCTTGATTGGTTCCTTGTATAGTTCCTTCTGTTTTGTTTCTTAATATTATATTTAGTTAAATTAATTATTGCATTTATTTCTGATCAATTTTTCTTTTTCTCCTTTTCACTTTTTTGTTTATTTTTATGAGAGTAAATTTTTTGTTTGGATTTAGGAGTAGTTTACTTCATTTTGCGTATCAAAACATATTTTAATTTTCTTGGTTTTGATTTTACTGCTATTCTTGTTTTCTGTACATTTGACCTTCCTTCTTGTTTTCATGTTTAAGTGCATCCATGCTGTATAAAATTTTTTTGATATAAACCAAAATATTGAAACCATAAGTCGTCTTTATTGTAAAAATATATGCTGAACCAATAATTTATTTGTAATATTATTAATTGTGAATGATAATCACTATTTGATCTTATCACAATAAATAGTTATTTATTTATTTATTTATTTAAATATATGCCACAATGACTGTGTGTTATGAAGTTGGAGCTTGGCTCTAAATTTTAAATATTGGGGCAAATAAATGATTTTGTGGAAAACCCTTGCATAGGATATTTAATTTATCGAGCAAAGAGTGTTAAACATAATATAAAGATTGAACATCATAAACATTTAATACATACTTGGTTTCCACAGCGATAACAGTAGTTGGGAGCAGAGAATATGGTGACAACATTCCTGAAAATCAAGTTTTTAATCCTCAAATTATTAACCTATTAAGAGATATCGTAATAAAATTAAATCTATCTTCAATTGTCTTTTGACATTTAACTGGAATCAGTATAAGTAGCTTTAAATGAGTATTTTTGAAATGTTACAAAGGATTACTGAAAAAGTAAACTGCTCTATTAGCGACTTCAAGGGAATACAAATTGAAACTGCTAAACTTGTATTCATTTTGTTGTACCAGTACCAGTCTACTGAACCCAGTGTATAATGGACCCATGGTGTGTAAAGTACCCATTGTTTATAAATGGACCCATGGTGTAAAGTGGACCTATGGTGTAAATTGGACCCAGTGTATAGTGGACCCATGGTGTGTAATGTACCCATTGTGTATAATGGACCCATGGTGTAAAGTGGACCTATGGTGTAAATTTAACCCAGTGTATAGTGGACCCATGGTGTGTAATGTAACCATTGTGTATAATGGACCCAAGGTGTAAAGTGGACCTATGGTGTAAATTTAACCCAGTGTATAGTGGACCCATGGTGTGTAATGTACCCATTGTGAATAATGGACCCATGGTGTAAAGTGGACCCAGCGTATAGTGGACCCAGAGTATATTGGAATCAGTGGAAAGGGGACAAAGTGTAAAGGGGACCCAGTGTAAAGGGGACCCAGTGTACAGTGGACCCAGTGTACAGTGGACCCAGTGTAAAGTGGACCCAGTGTGAAGTGGACCCAGTGTATTGTTTATGGAGATCAAATGTTATAAAAGTATTTTAAAGCAATTCCTTTTTTGTACAATATCTCAAGTTGAGTTGAATTTAATATAAATAACCAAAAAAACTGCAAATATCCATAAAAAGATATAAAGACTAATAAAATGAAAAATACATTTGATACCAGCTAGAAACTTATTACCATTTAAATAACTAAGTCTTGATATGGGAATGTTTTGAAACAAGAAATATGGAAATTGAATTATTTATCATCCTCTTTTTTGTTTTGACTTAATAATACTTTTTTATTCGAATTTTTATACAAATTCACTGCAAACTAGACAGAAAAATATTACTGGTACGCCTTTGTGAAATCGTAGCTCCTCTAACATGCAAGTATGCGACAAGCAATTTTGTCCAGTAACATCAGAATTTAAAACAATTTTGTTCCTCTCGATAGCTGTACAATAAAGGGAGTTATGATTGAAAACATATATATGAAATTTACTAGTTTGACGTGAGTTCCTACAGGTTCCCTTTATAAAGTTGATCGAAGACTTCCAAAATAGTATCAATTATTAATTTTTCTTCCCCAAATCATTGAAAATCATTCATCGGAGGGATGGGATGAAATGGAAGTGGGTTGGTGTAGTTTTTCAAAATATTTACCCTTATTACAGTCAAATTACATAAAAAATTGGCAGAAATGTATAATAATAATTACCTATCATGTGACCAATTGTAACCTTCCATGACAAGCTGATGAGCTCGTGATACAAGTGTTAACCCGTTAGAGTGGTTAAATGTCTCAGATATATCCTAATTAATGATAAAATATAAAAAATATTTATATATGAAACATCATGTTTAGTGCGATTCTGAAGTAAAGTTTAAATTTATATTTATATACTGCTGATTAATGTCAAACATGAAAAGTGTTCAGCAATAAACTATCTAAATAAACAAAAAAAAATGTTAAAGACTTTTTAAAAAAGATTTCTATCAGAACAGGCCTAACTGAAGATTGGAGCAAGTCCATGAAACATCGTGTATGAGGATATAAATCTGTTTTTATTATAAAATAATAAATTGATTATGTATAAATAAATATATATATACTGCAATGTTTTCTTGGACACCCTGTAAAAAAAAGAATAGCTTTGTTATTCTTGATCAAAAAAATGTTTTAAGAGTACCGTTGTGAATCTAACGTATCGAATAATTTCTTCCAACCCAAAGTGCAAATTATGACAAACCTGGCCGAAGGTATATCCAGCTCCTCTGGGAGAAATTCCCCAGCCACCTCTAAAATATTGATTCCATTATTCGAAATATCATCATTTTAAAACATTGAATCTTGCATATTCCACATGTTTTTAATACAACTAGGCTTTTAGTGCGCTTCGCGCCCATCTTCTATTTAAATTGTGAACATGTTCTTTTTGTTTACATTTTAAACAAAGAAGAAAAAAAATTTGCGGATTTTTAAAAAAAATCTCGGATTTTCAAGAATTTAAATTTTTTACAAAATTAAAAACCTTCAAATCACATTTTTAAAAATTTTTATCATTCATAAACCTTTTCTGTGGTCACGTGATGTCCCACAAAAAAGTTGGGCCCGATCGGTTCAACCGTTTTGACGTTTATTGGATACAAACAAACAAAAAAACAAACAATCAAACACCCAAACAGACAGACAAGCCAAATTTATAGATAGATTTAAAGATAGTAAATGTTAATTAAAGGAGAAAAAAAGCTTTTCCGAGCTGAATCCTATTCCCGCAATCTCTCATTAACCGAAAGCATATTTGTTAACTTTTAATAATTGGTCAAATACTTCCCTTAGTAATAGGATTAAGCTTCACTTGTTGAACTGCAAAAGATACGCGTGGTGCTTTCTGTAGGGATTTGCCATGGATTTACCATACAAAAGCTAGACAATTTTACCTATCATCAGGATCTGACCATAGAAGATCGCACATAGGACCCTCATGAGGAACCTGAAAAACAATGATAAAGAAAAGGATAAAATATAAACAACTGTTTTCCAATTATCACTTAAATTCATGAGCTCTGTTAAATAGCTTCCGGTCGATTGAGTTTAATTACAGTGTTAAATCCATTGCTTAGGATCAATTTCATTTTTAAGCGGATACGGATCCTGAATCCGCCCTAAGAAAAATGGATCCGGATCCAGGCCAAAAAGACATTTTTACCGGTTTACTGATTTTTTAACAAAAGAATTTCAAATTTTTTTTTTAAAAATTCTAAATATTGATGAATCGTGGAATTTTTCAATTATCTCTCTTAGTAATTGAAATTTTTTTTGTTGACAGTTTTTTGTTAATCCGGATGCGTGGATCACTGGATCAGCATATTTTTAGGACATTTTAATGTAGTTTTTATATGATGTACTTGTTAAGGACGCTTATTTGGCCGCTTGGTGTCTCTCGCTGTCAGAATTTCACAGATTTCAGACACCAACGGCCAAATAATCGTTCAAAGGAGTCTAAAAAAATGTTTTTAACGTTTTCTCTTCAGCATAGAAAATCCAAGGATGAGAAAATAGAACTACAAAGCAGATATTAAACAAAAACACAAGAATCATTTTTTTAAATTGTCAAAGAAAAGTTTTCTCGATGCAGACTGAACGAATTTAAATATTAAATCTCAGGCCTCTGTAACTAACCTCTTGAAGACGGTCCAGAGCTCTGATATGATCCAGAGTATCGATACTAGGACTGAGGCCTCCATGTAGACAGAATATTTGACCTGAAATATGGAACCAAATATAATCTCAACATATGCGTTTATATATTTATGAGAAATGGTTGGGAAAAAATTATTGATCGATAAATATCCGATTCGTCGTAATATTACTGGAGGAAAAAATAATGGAAATTAATATCCCTAAAATATATTTCACAAAAAGATTTACCACCCCGCCCTGATCTTTTTTTTCTTCAATTTTTAAATATTTCTTCCTTTTTGTCAAGAATCTTTTTCCAAGAAAATTTATTTCTTGGAAAAAATCATGTAAGGCAATGCCATGGAAAATGGAATTGAACAAAAATTTGCAATGAGAAAACATTAGACTTGTGAAATTGAATAAGATATTTTACTTACTGTCAACTAAAGCGGTAAGAGGAAGGTAGTCAAATAGATCAGTGAAGTATTTCCAAACATTGGCATTTCCGTACTTACGCAGGCATTCATCATAGAACCCATAAACCTTAAAAATAATCTATATAATAAAACAAGACACTCGTTTATATATATGTTGCGTATAGCCGGCAAAACGGCAGTGGCGATTGGGCTGACATTTTTTGTGGACACTCATGAGTGGCCAGAGGGTTTAAAAAATCGAAATTTTCATTTTAAAATTTTTAAAAAAATTTTTTTCTACGGGCAACGGCGGGCCCTTCAGCTAGTATATACAAAGGGACAATATTGGATGTATTTACAGAACGATAAAGGATGTAGATATTTCAATATGTATCAAAAATATCGGAGTGAATGGAAAAATCTAACTGGTTAGAGACTTGTAATTCATAATAAAATACAGGTAGCTAAACCAAATTCAGCAGATTTACTTCTTTTGAAACCTGCTATTTAATAATTATAAATCCGTAAAATACAGTCGAGGTTATACCTCTCTTACTAGTAAATAGAATGATTACGTATTTACCTAATTTTATGTAACTAATTAGTCAGAGTTTTAAAATGCTCTGATATTAATCATTAATATAATGATTAAGATGGTATTGATTATATATAATTAGTTAATACTCAAACTGTGTAACTTGAGCGCAGAAGTATATTTTAATCTTTTTGATAATTGTACATTGGATCTGCATCCAGGACACTAAAATGTTGAGGATTCGAAAGATCTGATTACTAATCATAATTACTGATTATAAGACAGCCAGTGTGAAGTTAACTAATCCCCAATATCTGAGTAATCTGTCTCAACTAACATATTACTTGATTACACAATACTGAGTAATCTGACTAAACTAACACATTACTTAATAAAACAATACCTGAGTAATCTGTCTCAACTATGACATTACTTAATTTAACAATACCTGAGTAATCTGTCACAACTAACATATTACTTAATTAAACAATACCTGAGTAATCTGTCACAACTAACACATTACTTAATTTAACAATACCTGAGTAATCTGTCTCAACTAACATATTAATTAATTAAACAATACCTGTGCATAGTGAGTAATCTGAGCTGAAAACTTTAGAATGAGATATCCTTAATCCTGATCGCTTAATCTGAGTATTCATTGTACAAACTTTTGATTTTATTCTTAATCCTCTTTTTTTGGATATCCCTACTGTATAAAAGTTACGTTTGATAGCAATTACAGATACTATGCAATATCGATTGGACTAATATATCCGATTGAATTAAAGTCAACTGTTCACAATCCGGCTTTCAGAGCATTTGAGCAAATATAAATTTAATCATGTTAATATATGAACCTATTAAAAAATATATTTTATCACATTTTAAACGAGTCTTAACAAACATTAATCCAAAACTTGCATTTATTTAATCGATGTTTAGTTCAATTGATATGACACAATTAACACCAGAAAAAAAAACGGTTCTTATAAAGTTAAAGAGTACAGCTTAACATGATGCACTGATTGGTTGAATTTCTTTCTTGGATATCGTATGCGTATTAAAGTAATCTCGGGTTTAGTAATACCAGGAGTTTGAGCATTAATCTTGATATCCACCATTCTAAAGTTTTCAGCACTGGCTCAACTATGACATTACTTAATTTAACAATACCTGAGTAATCTGTCTGGACTCATGGTTTCCACGCAGGATTGTAATACGCTCACGGAACCGTACCTAGATCAATCATGCAATCAGTCAATAAATCAGTCGATCAATCAATGCTTTTTGGCTGGTAAAATCAACGGAATCATACAATTTGTTAAAAAAAGTAGAATTTTTTTTACAATTTTTCTCGGGATTAATAAAAAAGTTCGATAACATTTTCTAGTTTAGGACTAATCGTCATAAAGAAATCGTAAAACATTACAATTTTCATTTCTAAATTTAGCATTTCTTTATTCTACAAACATTCTGGATATTAAATATCCACGAACCAATTAGTCAAAAAACGGGTTATAAATCTATGTTTATTTGACGGGTAAAATCAACGGAATCATACTCTTTAAAAAAAGTTGAAACTATGAGGCACTTTTTTGGTAAATAAGTTCGAAAACATCTTGCACATATACAGTTTTAAACTTTTCTTTGATAAATATTTTTTTAATATTTTTTTTTATAATTTTCAAACTCGTTAAGAATTTAGCATTTGTGTGTAGTTATTTTTTAAATTTTATCATTGACGAATGTTGCTTTTTTGCCACAGAGTAATTTTTTGCTGGTGCAAAAAGACTTTGAAGCTCTCAATGTGATATTTTTACCCTTGTTTCTGGTTTACTTCATAAAAATATTCGTAAAGAAGAGATCTTAAAAATTGCAAAATCCATTTCAAAATTTTTATTTTTAATACATTTCTGTAAATCTGACCTTAAGTGTGACCAGGAGAGTAACTGTCTCTACGCTGTAATATCCTCGGTCCACATAATCCCCCATAAACAAATAGTTCGTGTCCGGGGACTTACCACCTAGAAATAGAAAAACCGAATCAGCAAATTGTAGAGGGAGAGCTATATGTTAGCTATATGTTAGCTATATGTTAGCTATATGTTAGCTATATGTTAGCTATATGTTGGCCAAACCATGTTTTCTTCTTCAAAATCAATTTGTTAATCCTTTTCTTACTTTGCAGGTTACCCCGGGCAATTCAGCCAGTTATTATTGTATAATGATCGTTAAAGATCACCAATGTGGAATCCCATGTCTCCCAAAACTTGACTCTTGAATTTGTGCACAGCGGGGGACAGGACATAAATTCTTGTCCTGTTGGTCCTGGTCTTCTGTTTCCTATCCCGGCATCTCCAGCTCTTACCCATACTCAGATTTTCAATCGATGAACAGGTTCGAGGGGGGGGGGGGGCTTTTTATATACCACTGCAAATCCATCAAAAATATTTGAAAACCATAGCGGTTATACTTGATTGGGCCGGGGAATGGGAGGACAATGAAAATTACGGGGATTATCAAACAACGTTAACAAAAGCAAGATGAGTTACAATTTGAATTTCACGAATAGTATTAATTTAATTTACCGATTCTAAAGAGCTCCATAAGATCATGAAACTGACCATGCACATCTCCGCACACGGTCACAGGGCACTTAACCTAATAAATTGTTATTCAAAATTAAACCTTTTTTCACATACTTTTTAAAGAAATTTTTCCTAATAAAGACATATAGAGGGTTAGTTTGACCAATTTAGTTACATTTGGGATTCCTGTCTTCATTTTTTGAGGAATCTGAATGAAATTTTTCATATAGGCATCATTTAACTTTGTTTTAAGAAAAAATTTGTTTTAAATATTCCTCCTTTTTTTCCTCATTTTTCCATGTTTTTTTTTAAGCTTTTTCACTACATGCTAGTCCAGAATTTCATTACTAATATCAGGACGAAGATTAAGGTTTATCAGATCAATTTCCCCCCTATTTTATCATATTTTCCCACTTGGTTAATATTTTCAGATTTTCTAGATTCTTTGCAAACAGGCCTCAGTTTGATAGTATTTTCGTAAAACAAAATAAAAAGGGGGGGGGGAATTCAATGTTTCCATGTTTTTTAAAGCTTTTTTACGAAAAAGTTTGATTCACAGACAAGCTAAGGGTTTTAAACACCTACCTGTAAGTCAAGAATCTCATTACTAACATCAGAACGAAGTTTAAGGGTTTTCAGATCACTTTCCCCCCATTTTCCCCATATTTTATCATATTTCCCCAATTTGTTAATATTTTTCACATGTTCTGGATTCAATAATTCATTTTTCACTAAAAAATAAAAAAATCTTTTGCACACAGAATTTCATTGGATATTAAAAAAAATCCAAAGAAAACCAAGTTGGGGAAAAAATATTTTCTTCCCCTTTTTTTCATGTTGTTTAAATCTTGTTCACCAAAAAGTCTGATTCAAAGACAAGCTAAGGGTTTTAAACATCTAACTTTAAGTCAAGAATCTCATTAACATTAGAACGGAGTATAAGGTTTTTCAGGTCACGTTTCCCCTATTTTAATAATATTTTCCATCTTTGTTAATGTGAATCCGAAAAATGTGAAAAATAAGTGCAAAAATATGATAAAATTTGGGGGAAATGGGGGGAAAGTGATATGAAAAACCTTAAAGTTCGTTCTGATGTTAGTAATGAGATTCTTGACTTACAGGTAGCTGCTGAAAACCCCTAGCTCGTCTTTGAATCAGACTTTTTCATAAAAAAGCTTTAAAAACATGGAAAATACTATCCAATTAAGGCCTCTGTGCAAAAGATTTTTTAATTTTCGATGAAAAATTAATTCATAAATCCAGAAAATCTGAAAATCTGAACAAAGTGGGGTATTATGATAAAATAGGGGAATAACAGGGGGAAAAGTGATCTGATGAACCTTATTCTTCGTTCTGATATTAGTAATTAGCAAGTAGGTGTGTTAAACACCTAGCTGGTATTTGAATCAGACTTTATGGTGATAAAGCTTATAAAACACATGGAAAATGAGGAAAAACTATTTTTTTACAATATTTTTATTCTACTTCAAACAAACACAAATGATGCCCATATGCAAAATTTCATTCAGATTCCTCAAAAAATGAAGACAGGAGTCCAAAATGAAGCTAAATTGGTCAAACTAACCCTCCTCTTCTTTAAACTTTTTTAAGGTTGTGATCTGTGATTTTCCCACTGTAATATTACCTCCTGAACATTGCTCTCCTTGCTCAAAATCTCTTTTGCTTTTTCGCACAGGGTCTTAACCTGAAATATTTTAAATTCTTAACCTGAAATATTTTAAATTCTTAAACCGAATTTTCCGAAACTCTTGTTTCAGTTTTCAGTTTTTGTTTTTATTATGGCTTTTTGTAATTTCTTGAATTTTAATCAAACTGAGTCTAAAACTAAAGAATGCGCGAATTTTAAGTTTGAGGTTAAAAGTTCTTTAAAATAATGAATAGCTACTTAAAAATTAAACTTTCTCAATTTTAAATTTGAATTTCCCGGGAAAAATCTGAACCAATCAGAGAAAAGGATTTAAAGAATTATAACGTAAGTATCGGTATTCGGTAATCAGCTGTTTTTTAAATTTTAAGTTATTTACGTGACGAACACAAAGCATATTTTCAGTTACAACCGTATTTTGGGTTAACGTGCAAAAATTAATTAATCTAAAACGTGAAATTTATTGAATCAAGGTTTTTACTTTTAAATATATCATAATTAGTTGAATGCCGCTGAATGATGATAGACTAAGGGATTGCGGGATTTCAAGATTTTTAACCCTGTGTTTAAATTTTAACTCGTCGATTTCGGCGAGTTAAATATTTAACCAAAGGGTTAAATATTTAACCTCCCGGTTAAAGTTCAGGTTTAAATTAAGTCAAAAGTGGCATTTAACCATGAACTTAAAATGTAAGTCAAAACTTTTCGTTCTTTAGTTTTAGACTCTGTATGATTAACAATTAATGGATGTATACGATTCGAGCACAAAAGTACTGCTATGTCAGTACAATATGTCAAAAAGCTTGTTTGCTTTTTCTGCTCCGTGGAAATATACATACAAGAAAATATACAACCCTTGATAGTAGTTCAGTGGAAATGGAATCATATTATTCATGATGTCGAGTGTCATTAACTGAACTGCCATTTTCCTTCCTTACCTATTCAACAATTTTTCATGACATTTTATCTCACATATTTGTATGAAAGATCTAGTACTAATGCTGAACTAAAATAACCTGGTTTTCATGACATTTAATCTCACGGTATTTGTATAAAAAGTCTAGTACTAATGCTGTAAAATAACTTGGTTTTCATGACATTTAATCTCGCATATTTGTATAAAAGATCTAATACTAATACTAAACTAAAATAACATGGTTTTCATGACATTTTATCTCACATATTTGTATGAAAGATCTAGTACTAATGCTGAACGAAAATAACCTGGTTTTCTGATAGTTGCTTACACTCCATCAATTGTTCTACCCAACCATCCAAATCCTGCAGAAATTATATTTACATTCCAATTGTAGGAGGGAGAAAACTAAATCAATTTATAAATTAAATTCCTCGGAAATTTAAGAAAAGGGTTCGAGCTAGGACATGTATTCTTTAATTGGATATGTGAGGCCTAGCCCCACCATGAGGTTCAGAATATAAGGAGAAGGTTAATGAAATTGAATATAACATTAACAAATGCGTTTAACATGAAAATTGTAAAATTGCAATTATTAAATTGAATAGAATATACAAATCTACCTTCAAGTTAGCTTTCTCGTCTTGATTCATTTTTAGAATTAGTTTTTTCAATTGGAGATATAAGAACAAGAGGGTCTAAAATCCTCTTTAAACCCTGAAAATACAAACAATTAAAAACAAATTAAATTACATCCATCAATATAAGTTGGTTTAAAATCAAATGAATTTTGTACATAACATGTAATTTGTACCAGGGATATATTTTTTCAAGAAATTCACTCCCCGTTGTTGGGGGAGGGGACCTGGGATCATGTTTATGCTTTGGAGAAAAAGAAATGGAAAGATAAGCATAAAAAAAAGTTTTAGTTCTTCTTTTATTATTTAATTTGTTACTTTTTGACTTCATGACCAAATATACTGTAATTGCATATTCTCATAAAAGTTTAAACAGTCCGTCTCTGCATTCAGGAAACTATTAATATTTATTTTTTTAAATTTAGGTTTAGGTTAGGTTAAGACAAGTTCTGGGCCGAGCGGTATGGCTAGGACATGCCAGGGGGCCGAGCTTCGCGGCTAAGACAGGCAAGGGGGCCGGGCGCTGCGCCCACATGACCAAGGAAAACCATGTTCAAAATTGAAAGGAGGGGGGCCCGGGGGGTCCAAAATTCGCAAAAATAT